CGTGCAGTCTCGCGCAAACGCAAGGGAGTGGAGTGTGGAGAGGAGCGAGCCAAAGCCAAAGACCCCGCCTTAACTTTCTTTGCTTTTTTGAGATCTAGCAAAATGATAGAGTGCATATTGGTCTGGCCAACCAAAGGAGCAGGTCACACCTCAGTCCCGCTTTGCAGCCGCCTTCGGCGCCTTCGCATAACCAAAAATGCCCAGGAAATAAGCGATCCTATTGACGAACAAGAACATCGTGACCCCGATGTTACCCCAGGTCAAAGCGTTCCATGCCGCAACGTCTGCAAATGCGGCCCAGCCCATCGCCAAGTACGTGGCGTAGACATGGCCAATATCGGCAATGGCCAGCCCGATAAGATAGTTGCGGAGTACTCTTGGTTCCGTTGTGGCGTGGCAGACACCCACACCGACTAGGAAGAGGAGCGAGTAGACATTGCCGAGCTGGTAGGCGAGCGCGACGCTGCTTGGGTGCAGGGTGGCCGGGGCTGCGATGTTGGGGGTTTGCCCGGCGATAAAGCCTTGGAGGTTGTAGATAGGGTAGGCACTACCGAGGGCCCTGTATTAAGGATAGTAAGTCAGTAGTATTCTTGCATTGTCGGGAAAATGGTTGGGCTGGTCATACAGGGAGATAGGCTCAAGGACGCCAAAGAGGATGTGTGGCCATAGTGGAAAGATGGTGGGCATTTTGAGGACCTGTGGCGTTCAATGTTATTCCCTTGTGTCTTCTCAATTGTTGTGCTTTGGTCCTGGCTGTAATTCGCTCGGAGCATCGGCATAAACAAAGCTCCCGGTAGCTTTACTTGCTACTTGCATAGAGAGGCAGACAACTCACGTTCTAGGACCAGGACCAATATCAAGTATAGCGTATCAATTGTATGATAGAATCCGATCAAATCAACGAGTGAAAGAAAGTCCAATGGGATATCTTTCGAAAGGGAATTGTTTCCCTTGCCAGGGGATCTCGGCAATTGGACAAAAATGGAAGCTGACGTAGACACCTCCCGGGACCCACTTTACTGGCGCCCGTCACCGCCCCGAGCCTAGCCGTTATCGCATGGATCTTATCAGAGCTTCATCTGACCCCCCAAAGATGGATGATATGTCAGATCCAGGATGAGATGAATTCTGTGAGAGCTGACCAAAATGGAATCTGCGAGCGCTTTGCGGCCCCTCGATGAATCAATACTCCGCGACCTCCCCCAACTCTCTCTCCGTATCGCCCCTCTACGAGAACCAGTATCATCACGAACCTTAAGCGTCCCATCGCCCCTCGAACCCAATGCCAGTGGGACACGGGAGCCGAATAATATCCCCAATTCAAACAGCAATAGCGGGAAGATCCCAGCAAATGCAAAAGCAGGCCTGCCGACCGTTACGGAGTTCCTGAACGCTGCGCGCATCAGGAAAACCGAACTGTCAGCAGACTCGCAGTCGAATGTGGAACGTCCCCCAAGGCCAATCCTTCCCGCTTTTGTGAATCTTCGTGCCCTAGAAAAGTTTCCATTCTCGTCATCTTTCGATGACGACGCCCTCCAAGGACCTCGCAAACGTCGACGCCGAGACCCTCAGGCTGATTCGTTCAGCGAGCATCTACAGTTACCTATCCCCCAGGCCCAGAAGGAGCAGCGACCTCCTCCATTTGGGCCATTTGCTATTCTGAATGGATTGAATGAGCCTCCACCTAATGCCGCCCTGCTTCCACCTATTGAGGCTGGGTCTAATATCTCCCAGCTTTTGACTAAGCCCTCCAGAGGCGGTGCTGCTGTTGACCCTGGGACGCTAGTTGCGGCTCATGTCGCGATCTCAGATGGACAGTCTGCTGCTGAAAGACGAGATACTAGACTCGAGGATATCCTCAGAATGTCTCTCAATGTGGATGAAGACGACGACCATAATGATAATGATGAAAATGTTGAAAGTACTAACCCGGTGGATCCTGATGAGATCGCCCTGGCTGTTCGCGACGCAGAGATACCCAGTAACAGTAAGGAATTGCTATTCCCCTCTGGACAGGATGCGCCAATGTCTCCTAAAACTCGTGGCCGGTCCCGTAAAAACGTGAGAAAGTGGACCGAAGAAGAGACGGCTACTTTACTTCGGGGTGTGGTCAAATGTGGGATTGGCAACTGGACTGCTATCCTTGCTCAACCGGGGCTGGAGTTCAATCAGCGAACTGCCTCAAATTTGAAAGACAGGTATGCTTGTTCTTGGCCAACTGTATGGTATTATGCTAAAGTTTCGTTATGAAGATTCCGAGTATTATGTCCATGGGCGTACCGGTAAGCGATTCGTTAAAATCCTCTGAAGTCAACTAGGATAGCTAATATTACTCCAGTACATCCGATCCCAATGAAGCTGCGAAACAACTACATGATACTCTCGCTAACACCCTACTCAAAGCCAAAGGAGAGGGCTCTGACGAAACACCCGGCAAACCCCACCTCTCCCATATAATGCCCTCCAGTCAAGGCTCCGAGTCAATCTCTGGAGCAAAAAGCCCGGCTCCCAGTCCACACAAACCCTCTACCTCGAGTACCGTCTCATCCACGCCCGACACAGATCCCGGGAGTAGTAGCATCCCCCAATCGCAGTCGCCCTCATCGGGAAATAGCACACCCGCTCCCGCGAGCAAGTCCCAGACAACCCTCGCATCTCTTGGAATTCCCGCAAACGTCGTAAAATCTAAACGTCGCTCTCGGCGACCCTTCACAGCCGTCGAAGACGAAGCCCTCCTCAAAGGCTACGCCGTACACGGCTTCCAATGGACTCTAATCCAGCAAGATTCCCGATTGAACCTAAGCCACCGCAAAGCAACAGACATCCGCGACCGCTTTAGAACCAAGTTCCCACACGCCTATCGTGATGGTGGCTCTGTGAATGGAAAGGCCTTTACCAACCCAAACCAGGGCCAGGGCCAGGATTCGGCTGCAGGCGCGTCGACCCCCCGCCCACCTCCTGTCAACACCGACCAATCTCCAAGCAAGGCCTATGCCATGACTCCAACTCCAACTCCGAATCCGGCTAACACTTCCCGCAACTCGGGGTCGAGGAGTCGTCACACTGCTACCCCTTCGCAGTCCAGTCTTGGCCAGATTGATCCCGCGCTCTTGCCCCCGCCTCCGCAGGGCTTTTCGGAGCACTCGATGTATCTTCCGCCTGCTGCTGCCGGTGTGCTTTCTTTCTCTTTGGATGATGGATCTGGGGCGGGTGCTGCTTCCACGGTGGAGACGCCGTGGGAAGATAATACCCTCGCTCCTATGATTTGGGATGAATTGACCTAATCGGGACAAGCCTTGGATGGGCTGTGTTGCCAACGCATGTTATGAACCTTTGAATTTCTTGAATTTTTTGGATTTCTTTCTCATTTCATTTTGATTTGCTTTTGGTACTCTGCGGAGCATTACTGTATCGCCTCTTGTTTTTTCCTGCTCTGTTTTCATTGTTGATCTATATCCCACAGTATGTACACGGTTGTTTTTGCTACAACCCTTATTTAGTAAAAGTTCTCTTTTCAAATTTGAATGTTATTGACAATCAAAGTGACACTGAGGAGCAAAAGATGCAACGAATCTGGTATTCTCACTATGCATAAAGATAGCATCGCGAAAGATGAGAGCCAATGGAACAATATTGGTAAATTGCCGGAAAAAGAAAAATCAGGAAAAAGCGCCTGTCCAATTAAGCCAAATAAAACCTGTACTTGCTTGTATCTGTATCTGAGTGGGGAGAAAGAAGCGGTGGATTCGGATATCAAACGAGCATAAAAGATCAAGCAATGATCATCACATAGCATACACTGCGGGGTACCCATTTTCAATCACGAAAGGTGTCAGCCGCGGACAGGATATCAAAGTGCGAAGTGAGGATTGGGAGAAGAAGAAGAAGAAGGGAGGAGGAGCTGGAAATAAAGGTGAAAAAAGGAAGTCCGAGGAGGCTAAATGGAAGGCCTATCCCATCCTAGGGAATGAGGCATGCTTCTCGTTAATGAATTAATGGTCGCAATAGTCATCTACCACGCATTGCGGTCCCAGTTGGGATCTGCAAGATGAGATTAGCAGACGTTCAACAATAATCCGCACAAGTGACTAGAATAAACCCACCTTGTATGTAGCTAGCAAGCACCTTACTCCCCGTCTGCAGAAGAGGGTGTCCGGCGACGATCTGGAGGAAGCGCTGCAGACCTTCGCGGCGATGCTCGATGACGTCGTCGCTGAACCGGTTGGTGAAAACCTTCCCGGGCAGTGGGGGTATCGTGACACGCGTGCTCTCGCGCTCGAGGATATCGCGGAAATACTCGAAATCAGAGTATCGGCGGCGCACGACGGAGTGTTTCAATTTGAAGGCGGGGATGTTGGTCCGGCACACAATCTCGTACGACGTGTACATGTTGCGGGATGTGCCATGGGTCTGGGGGTTGCGGACCTGTTGCAGTCGTTGTTAGTCTGAGTTTTTTGTTCTTGGTGCCCGATGGGGGTTGATGACGCGGGTTTTGGGTGGGGATGTATGGGGGCTGATTAGGGGAAGATATGGGCACGAGACTCTGGGGTATTGGGGTAGGTGATTGATTCGGGAGTGGATATTGGGCATTAGGCGCTAAGTAACTCACTTCTATCTCGAGGAAGTTCTCGGGAGGTCCGTAGATCTCCTCGAAGGACTGCTGTCGCGATTCTGGGACGGACTGCATCGTGGTGGGGTTGGGGTGATGCGGAGGGAAAATTTGAGGGGAAGGCGAGCGGGCTTTTATATTGAGAATGCTTGGATGAGGAATCGAGTGCGGACTATTCAATTAGACAGCTTGTCTCACTCTAGTTCCTTGGACCTGAATACCACAGAGCAGATCCTGAGGAACCCGAGCCTCGGGAGTTGGAGAAGCATCTCTATCAATGGAGACCGGGGAAATAATTGATCCGTCCTTTTAGCTTATCTTCTTGACAGCCACATGTATACATACGCCGGGTGTCAGCCCGCGCTTATTCTGATTTTTTTGTTTAATATTCTCAACGGATGACAGCTGATGACGCGTGTGCCAGCAACCAGTCGACAGTCGCAGAGATCCATACTCGCAAGCCACTTTCTCGTACTTGGGGGCTTACGACGAATTTCTCGCTGGGTGGGGCAATGGCGAAAGAGACTCCACCGCAGAATTCTTTGCTTTCGGCATCGGGCGGCTGAGAATCGCTCATAGTTATAGCCTGTGAATATAGACCTAGGTTGCTGTCTGTATTTGATGTCCGTCAATGACCGAAAACACAGCTGCTAGTCCTCCATCCAGCACGGGGTTCGGGAGTATATGGGCGTTGGATTTGAATTAATTTGTCTGATCTATTGGCGTCGAGGGGAGTTGAAATTAACATCGTGTTGAAGTCTTGGGCGTAAAGGATTACTTGCCTTCAATGCAATCATCAAAAAGAAGGACTACGGACACACTATTTACACAGCGACACACTCCGTATGTCCACTGCTGGCAACAATTCTCAATCAGCTTACCTATTTAGAGATCACCTAGTCTGTTACTATGAAGCTGTTCCACGCTATTAATCTGTAGCCTTCACCCTAACTTCTTCGTATACTCAAACTTAATAAAAAGACATCCAAAAAAGAAATTATGCCAGTGCATTGCTTCTGATATCCACGCAACGCTTCTTTCTGCTCGGTATCATAGCGTAGAGACGGCGCCTCGCTGACCTTTTTTTCTAAACAGGAGTCGAGGGTATTTTCTTTGTTATCGAAGGTGCTGTGGTATTCAATCTGAGTAGGACTCTATAATATAAGCGGATTAGTTGAATGTTCACGAAGGGAGATGCAAGATGGACCTACCATTTCTTGTCCACTTGGGATTCGGGTTAGTCATTGACTTTTTTTAATGAATCCCCCTTAAGGGCTGGTCTTTTCTTGCCATCCACATTGCTGGTTGACATGGTTGGTGTATGTGCTCCCTAACAGGGATGGCTGAGATGGGGATAGAAGGGCGAAAACAACTGTCTGTGATAGGGTGGTGTTATCTAGGAGGGAGTAGGAAAGAGGACAGGCAACTGCTCAAAAGGATATATAAAACATACTTTTTTAACATCAGACTACTTCATTTATCGCCTTCTTTTCGAGGCTAAGAGGACGCATCTTGAGTGGCAGCTCTAGTTCTCTACTACGGTTTAGAAGTAGATAAGCTTCAGAAGTGAATTTGAGTGAATTAGTAGTGAGTTGGAAGTTAGTTGGACGTGAGTTGGAAGTGCATGAGGGTTTAAAGAAAATTGATTGATTCCATGGATGTCCTTACTAGTGTCATTATCAAAGTAAATATTGCTAGTATTAGCATTAAGTTATTCCTTCATATATTTGCTTAGAGGACTACTTTAAATTGCTTGATGATACGGCTATAGCTCTATAGAGAAGATGTACAAAATGTTACGTACCAGTTCTTGAGTATTTGTCTCTTTTGTATTCAGATATCGAGAGGGAGCTTCAATATCCTGCAATGGAGAGATCTGAACTCCTTCAGCATTATTATAAGGGGTTCGGGATAGTGCTTTCGTTGACATATGATAGCTGTATAACACGCATATGCAAAGCTAGAGATGCATTCACCATGGGCTTCTACTTCTTTGCATATAATATGCCCATTTTGTTTCTTAAAGGACAAATTGAGTACTATGCTCTCAAAATAAGCCACAGACTGGAGTGCGTGAAACCAAGAGGCAAATTTATACACCAATCCAGAAGGTATAAGTCCTGAGATACAAAGGAAGTGCAAGATGTCATCGGCGTTTAGCCTCGGAGTTAAGGTGAATGACATAACCCAAAGCCAGCGCCCGTGACCGAGGTCGGGACTTATCATCTATGTATCGATAAGCACCATATCTCCTCATCTATCACTACCGCATACATACAACTATGAGTTCAAGGACACCTGATAATGGGGGAGAATCTCCAAGGGGCTCAGAAGGGATCTGGCATCCTGCCCACGAATGGCTGGAAGACGACGAGCTGGATCCCGAATACCACCCCGCGCTAGAGCCATCCCAGGACGATGGCGCATGGGAGGACGACACACTCAATGATCAGCAAATGAGATCGGAGGGGGCAAGCGGTAGGACTGAAATATACGTCCTCAAAATACTATACAAATTCACTAACCGCTACCTTGTGATAGGCTATAACCACATCAACCTCGAAAACATCCAAATCGAACTTACAGCGGACGATTCGGAGAGCGAGGACACAGGCAATCTGAATGAGGGGCGCACTCGTAGTACGTTGCGCTGGAAATTCTCAAAGGGTATTAGTACAATTTCTCACAAATTACAGTACCGGCTTCCCGATTATTCGAGTTACTTGCATCCAGTGGCTTACAACATATCCTCCAAGCCAATGGTTGGCCAAGCGCTATGGAAGAAGAGCAAGACCAGATGGAAGATGAAGAAGATGATTTTGTAGGCGACGACGATTTCCTGCCCATGTTCCGAAATCGCCTCCGAGCCAGACGATCCGCAGAAACCCTTAAACTGCCACCGGTTCCTAACCCGGAGGGCAAGAAGTTGATGAGCGAAGGTCATTTCGGAACTGATAAATTTTATGTTGACCGCCTCAGACAGCGCAAGAAATCTCTCGCGACAAGCCTAATGTGGCGAGAACTAGGCATTGATACTGATGGAGTCCAGAAAAGAGCCAACCAGTCTATTTCTCAGGTAGGCCAACTTAGTCGGCACATGTATCATAAAACAGTCAGCGGGGCTAACGCGTACGTTTGACGCCTAATAGGGCCTCATTCCAAGTTCGATTGCGGACATGATCATTCACTATGACACACGAAGTTATTCAGGCCAGTTCTCGGATGATGGCAATTTCTTTTTCTGCTGCGCACAAGACTTCAAGGTTCGGATGTACGACACATCCAACCCCTACGACTGGAAATACTACAAAACCGTCGATTATCCATTCGGCCAGTGGACTATCACAGATGCGACGTTAAGCCCCGACAACCGTTTCCTTGTCTACAGTTCGATACGAAGTCAGGCATATATGGCCAGCACAGACCCAGAGGATGATTCAGATCCTACTGTTTTAGACTTTTCTGCTCCACCGGGCCGAAGGAGTAGACGGAGTTGGGGTAGTTCACACTTCGGGGTATGTGAAGTGATGCTTTAATTGTCATTTCAATGGCTAACCTAGTGCATTTTTGATAGATCTGGTCTCTTCGATTCTCCGGAGATGGACGTGAAGTCGTCGCTGGCACATCAGAAGACTCGGTCATCGTTTATGATCTGGAAACACGACAGCCAGTTCTAAACCTCCGAGATCGGCATCAACATCATGTCAATGCTGTGTGTTACGGCGACACATCATCACCGCATATCCTGTATTCTGGATCAGATGACACGACAATTCGGGTTTGGGACCGACGGTCAATGGGCGATGGGCGTGAAGCCGGTGCCTTTATGGGCCATACCGAGGGTCTAACATACGTTGACAGCAAAGGCGACGGCCGATACGTCTTATCAAACAGCAAAGACCAAACGATGAAGCTTTGGGATCTGCGGAAGATGATGACCACCGCCGATATCGAAAACATCGACCCTGTCGACTACACAACTGGCTTCGATTACCGATTCGAGCAATATCCAGACCAGTTCCGCAGAAATGCCAAGAATGACTGTTCTGTTGTTACATATCGGGGCCACCGAGTCCTCAAAACCTTGATCCGCTGCCACTTCTCGCCACAGGGAAGCACAAACTCACGCTATGTTTACAGTGGGAGTGAGGATGGCAAGGTTTATGTGTACAACTTGGATGCCACACTAGCCGGCACCATTGACGTTGGTCAAGCGACACTCAATTCGCGGCCGCGTGATCCAGATGCCTATGCTACAGCGTATGAGATGAGTGGGGAGATGCTGTGGAGGACTTGCGTCCGCGATGCAAGCTGGCACCCAAGTGCGCCAATGCTAGCAGGTAACTATATCCCAGAACGTTCGTTTTAGTAGACATTGCTAATGCTGTGTTCAGCAACTTCTTGGAATGGCTGGGGCTTGTCTACTGGCACTTGTACTGTGCATTCCTGGAACGCCGGTGCTACTAAAGACGAGGGAGATCCACCGCTTGGCAAGAGTTATGATGACAGACTACGATATATCCCTGAGTTTAACCGATTTCACGAAAATGCAGTAAACGCTCGACCCCGACGTCCATTGCGCAGTCGACCTGTTCGTCGATGGGCTGATGAGGAAGCTGAAGATACGATATGGTAGGTGAAGGATGTCTTTTTGGTTCAAAAGCATTCAAAGTTGGCTTTCGTGCACACCCTGGGGGTGTTCGTGTTCAATATATCTCACAATATCTACTCAGTAGGAGTAGACACATTTCTTTTGACGAATACAATACGTCATGTCATCTGGTCCACGACTGTAGATATGACCCAGGCTGTCCAAAAGCCTAGTATAAGATATTGTAGATGGGAATAAATGCCTCGAGGGTGTATATTAAGTAAAACAAGGACCCCTATTGATACAGGATGTGAAAAATGGTGGTATCTCATAGATAGCGATCATACTCTGTCTCCTATCGCTCGCCAAAAAAAAGCGCCAAGTGGCCGATGGTGATCGCCACGGGAATTCAAAACGTAAAAGGAGCAATGCTTTGCAGTGTGAAAAAGCTCGTAGTCCAGGGTTGTTTGGGGAGTCCCACGTGGTAGGTCATAGTGCCCAGTCGATTTGATAGAGCGGTGTCATTCATAAGGGCATTTTGCCTGATACCACCTCTTATCGCTCTTCCTTTCTTCTCTCTGCAGGCTTTTCCCATTATCAACTGTTTCCATCTCCCCAAACTTATCAAATGGATCTGAACATCTCCTGGGAGTGCCTCTCCCTTAAGCGCCACCGACCAGCACTTGGTTGACGGGAATGTGAACTGTAACAAGCAGGTTAATACAACAAACATGCAATGAATATGCAGACTGATATCCGCAATCTAACACGCACTCAGCTTGACGAAGTAGCCAATGGCTCCCTATCGGCGATGTCAGTTCTTCCGCCTTAAGATGCGATCCAGGGGTTGCCACAATGGCACATACCATAACAAGGAAACCCATGCCAACAGCCTGGCTGATCTTGATGAATTCACGCTTATCGGCTATTGGAAATGTCAGCGTGTCAGGAGCTCGCGAAATGACCGATCGACATACGCTTGGTGCAGCGGCGAACGAATTGAGAACCCTCCCGGATGAAGTCCTTAGGGATATCGGCAAGCTCCTGCAAAGTCTCAGACATGATTGCGAAAAAGAAGGATTATTGAAAAAGATTAAAGAACTTGAAGAAGAATGAAGTCGCAACAAAAGAAGAACAGGTGGTTTCTCCGGAATGACCAATTGGCCTCTCCGGGGGACTGGAGAATGGAGAATAGTTGTTCCAGCTCCCAAGGTCTGGCCCGTCGTCCGCGCGCGATTACATCGCCATCGCCCCAGCTGCTCTCATTGTCGGCCCTAAGATCTTTGGTGAACTTGAGAAAGCCCACGACGTCGTGATTGACCAAATCCCTTTCTCGGCGCCCGCGTTTATACCCCCCTATAAGAGTTTTCTTCCCCTTCCTTTTGCTTTGGATCCTGTTCTCTTCCCCCGTCCGTCACTACATTCATTGCCTGTCTGTGGCATCCTTCTCTTCTCCTTTTCCTCTTATTACTTTGTATCCAACAGTCGTGGAACAACCCTGATTCCCATTCTCTGTACACCGCGTCTGCAGCTCGCGCAAGTCTTGTGCCTACCGGAAGCGCTTCGCTTCGGATTGTACGTATTGTCTGGCCTCTTTGTTTTCATGTCTGTCCTTCCTATGTTACCCTTCGGGGGCTTGGCCAAATTTCCAGTCGCTTTACCTGTGAAGACTTCCAACAGGCTGTTGGGAGCTAATACGGGATCGTGATACCCCTGCACTACTTGCGCTTTCTTTCGTGATGTTTTTTCAATGCTAATTGGTGGCTTGTGCCTGCAGACATGCACTTTTCTTGATTTGCTCAGAAGCGGAAAGGATCAAGAAGAAGAAGGGCCTGTACTATCGAACCTCAGATACTCAGGCAATTTCAATAATTTCTTCGAGATCCAAATCCCCGAAGGATACTAATCTAGCTCGCAATGGCTACCGACGACGATAACTTCGACATTGACATCTACGGCGACGGCACTTACAATGCCAATGAGCCCGGAGATTTCAAGCAGGATTCCGAGCTTGTTCTGGATGCTCCCGAGAACCAGCCCGAGTCCGGCGCCGGATCATCCAACGCCGTCAAGCAGGAGACCCCTGCTCCCGCTCAGACCCAGCAGGTGAACCCGGCGAACAACAATGGAGCTCAGCCAGCACCTCAGCAGCCCGCACTCAACCACGGTCTGCCTGCTCCCCCCAGGGAATCAAGCGCAAGGAATACGATGATCAATCCGTGGATCCCGATGCTACCACTGCGTTGCTGATTTCTGAATTGACCTGGTGGACAACTGAGGACGAAGTCCGAAGCTGGTCGAATCAGGTCGGAGTTGAGGGCCAGCTGAAGGATGTGACCTTCAGCGAGCACAAGGTGAACGGCAAGAGCAAGGGGTAAGAACATCACAGACTCGGTTGTGAACAAATACGATGTCGAGCATTGATACTAACGTTTTCACAGTCAAGCATTTGTTGAGTTCACTACGGCTCAGGCGGCTACTGCAACTAAGCACAACATTGAGAGACAAAATACCCCCAAGCGCAAGTACACCGTTCACTACACCAGCCCTCACCAGAATCCCTTCAAGACCCTCCCCAAGGATACCCCGATGCGCAATGCCGGCGGTCGCGGCGGTGGTGCTGTCCACAACCCTAATGGCAACCCCAACTACGGCATGAACAACCACACTGGCGGATTCCGCGGCGGCCGAGGCGGCTTCGGCAACCGCGGCATGGGCGGTAACATGAACAACAACTTCAATAACCGCAACAACTTCAATCCCATGGGTGGATTCCAAGGTGCCGCGCCCAACCCCATGATGGGTGGCTTCCAGGGCGCCCCGATGGGCGGCATGCAGAACTACGGATTTAACAATCGCGGCAACATGATGGGTGGCATGCGCGGCGGTGCTGGTATGCGTGGCGGTCGTGGTGGAAACATGGGCGGTGCTCCGATGATGGGTATGCCTGGTATGGCTCCCCCCATGGGTGGCATGGGCATGAACCCGATGGCTGGTATGAACCCCATGATGGGCGGCGGCATGCCTGGTGGCATGGGAGGCAACATGCCAATGCAAGGTAAGTGATTCTGGCATACACACTGATCGTTCTTTCCGTTCCTCAATACTGACAATCTCCAGGACAACAAGGTTTCCAGGGCCCCAACCCCGGATTCAATCAGGGCTACTACAACCCTAACCCCAACAACCAGGCTGGTGGCGCCGACGCAGGTTCTTGGAATCCCCACGGCGCGAAGCGTAGCCGCCAAGACTAAGAACCCCAACGTCATGTTGCTCGGGAACCACACGTCATTTGGCCTCGTGGTGTCCCTAGAGCCTGTTGCTACAGACCTGATGGTCTTTGCGCGTGGTGAGGTTTCTTCAGATTGAGGGATTGATTTTTCAAATTTTTTTCATGGTTGCTTTTTTATGTCCAGCTGGAATGACGAAATCGGGAGAAGGGAATGGAAGAAACGCCGAACTACTGAAGATGTTTTCACGAGATCATCTTACTTGTCCTGGATCTGTTTGGCATTCGCTTTCCTCCCTTTAATTCAACGGCGTATTAGCAAAGGATATCTTTTTTTATTCCATTTTCCACATGTACGTCTTCTAGACAGCGTGTACTCGTACATCCATGTAATTACATAGCTCGGGCAGTGCGCGCAGAGTGAGATGTAATACTCTCACGTCACTTTCACGTTACTCAACCGTCACTTGAGACGCGGTATCCAAGATCTTTCACGTTACTTAACCGTCAGTTGAAACGCGATATCTAAGACCTTTGACGTTACCTAATCGTCACTTGAAACACGGTCGATATACAAGACCTTTCACATGTCCGCAGTAGCTAGTGCACCTGTGCTCAAGCTACATGCGCTGCTATGCAATGCAATACCCCTGCATCAGACACGCGATCAAAACATCTCCTATCAAAAAGAAGCAAGGTACACCCTAGCTCATACAGGGAGCTTGTCCTTTTCATGCATTGCCCAAGGCAGACTACACAACATTGTACAGATAGTTGACGGTGGCAGTGCAAGTAAAGCTGGTAATTAACGCTACATTGGATAAGGCGCAGACCGCTTCTTGAAAAAGGGTATAGTTGGAGATGTCTGAAACCGAGACTGGGAAGGGCTTTTACAGCGCATGAATCATATTTCATTTCAAGTCCAATCTCGTGATTCATGAAAAGTCATGTAAGTAGTATGCCCCCCCTATTAAACACATGAGGACATTATGCATCTCCTGGAAGTTGGATGCAGACTTGCACAGGAGGATCTGGATATCTAGCGCGGAGAATTGATAGAAAAGAAAGACAGGAGGAGTACCAAATATTTGGCAAGTCGTAGAGCATATGATCATAAGGACGTGCGTATGAATGAGGTATAGAACAGAAGGAGCCCATTGTGACCCATCAACAAGCAAAAAATCTTATACATAATATCCTTCGATATCAAGTCCAGTATACAGCGAGGATCAGATAGTAGGAGCTTCTGGTACGTATCGGCATCTATGCCGCTGGTCCACTGGGCGAGTTTCGTCAAGGCCCACTTGACGTCAAAGCTGAATGACCAGTTTTGCACGTCCTCGGTCTGGTAGAGGCGTAGAGTGAGCTCGGATCCGGACGGCGACGGGGGAGTGAGCTCTTGCTCTGAATCGGTATCAGACTCAGCATCCTCGTCGGTAGTTTCGGGTGCGATAGAGTGAGTCCTCTGCTTCTGGGTGTCTGACTTTGCTGCTGCAGATGCGTGGATAGTAAAGAGCCTCACGAAGAGTCGCACTCGAGTGTGGAGGCGATGACCCGATTTGTGCGCCCAAGACATTGTTAGTGTCATCTCGATGCGCTTGTTCGACGATAATTGGAGGCTTTCGTGGGCTTCATAGTCGACAGTTGGGGTCACACATGCGCATTTGCAACGAGACACCAGCTGAAGAGGGTTTAGAATGGGCGAAGGAGTGTTTTTGAGAACAAGATATTTGTATAAGCCTAGATTCGGACCTCCTGATGCTTTCGCTTTTGGTTGCTTGGTCTGTCTTCTGACGAAGAACGGGTCAATCAATGTGCCAAGTCCAATGCTGCGAAGTAACGTGGTATCGCTTTCAAAAATAGGCGACTTTTGGACCTTGTTGCTGAGATCACTCAGAGATGGATGACTTTCTGAATCCATTACAACCCTGATAAACGGATTGTTCCGGGAAAGATCGTTCATGAACGTGTTGGTCATGTCCAATGATCGTGGGTCCAAGAACTGTATATCATCGTCAAACAGTTGGGTGGGCATAGTCTGAGGTAGCCCAAAGTTTGCCAATGCTCCAGGGTTAAAGTAAGGTTCGTCCAAGTGGATGATGGTAGAAGATGTATCTGGGAGGTCTTGTACAGGCGTTGTCGAGGAAGCCCCAATTTGAATAGCACTCCGGGGCACGTCACCACACTTGTGGCAAAGGTCAGGTTGGCACTGTCGACATTTTGCCATGTGATGATCGCACCATCTGCATTTCTTTGAATCAAGGAGATTCTCTTCCTTTTCGTCCGGGTGCTTGCGCTTGGTCGAATGATCGGTTCGTGGCAACCCGGGAGTTTGTGAGGGTTGGGGGTTATTGGGCGTCGCACTGGCTTCTCCGGGGAGGTGAGCCCTGGACTCGCGAGATGATCCCTTAGGAATTTGTTCAATGGCATCAATGACGCTTTGACGACGGCTGCTGTTGAGCCGATTATCAGAAACAGAGTGCGGATGGATTATTACAGTCCTAATATTTGATTGTTTAGGCTGCGAGCCTCCGTTTGAATTGCTTGGCCCGGCTGAAGAAGAGCCATGGCCATGGTCATTGCCATTACCGTTCCCGCCATTCCTGCCACCATTGTTGCCGCGACGAGACCGACCGCCGTTGGTAGAGGACTTCTTTGAACCAGGGGAAATAAGACAGTGACGCTTGACGTGATCAAAATAGACAAGCCAAGAAGATGTCTCAACCGGGCAAAGGGGGCAGTGAGTTGGGTATGGATGTCTCATTCGAGTTGCCTCCACTTCAGCCGGGAGCAGATCGGATTTTTTGTGTATGTGCATAAGATGATCACGCATTCTATCCCGCCGCTGGAGGACTTTGGAGCACTCGGTACAGGACCACTCGCAGTCGCGTATACTATGCTGAGCCAAATGTCTCTTCAGGGTACCAAAAGTTGGAAAGGTTGCTCTAGCTGTCTGAGGATCGCATACCCAACATCGATACATTTCTTTTTCTTGTTCCGACGAGTACTCAGTTGATGCAGCAGGAGGTGCCGGGAGCTTTGACTGAAAGAAGGTTTTGATCGTTTCGAGGTTCTGCATGCTTTGAGAGACTTGATCAGAACTACATCGCTGGTTGGATCTGAGAGCTCTCCAGGTGCTGTTAACCTGTTCCATGACGCCGGCAGGTGGTTCAGATAAAGGTTGCAGAGAGAACGGCGTGGGATTTGGTATTCCAATCGTGGTCCGATCAAGATTTCCCGAGGGATGAGCTGGTCGTTGAGTGATAATTGAACTTCCTAAATCACCTTCTAGGCTTTGAGGGATATTATCATCCCCCAGGGGATATCCCGGGTTGATGTACGCCAGATCATTTTCGTATTGCTGTGGAGGTTCTGGAATTTGACTAATAGGCTCGGTGTTGATCCATCCAGAGTCCTGAAAGGCATCCGTATTCGGGAAGCTCGTCACATCAGCAGAAGAGTAGGCTCCTGAAGGATAATATCCATAATACTAGTCAAGTATTAGGACCCTGAAGCTAGGATCTCTGGATGAAAACTCACTAGATCATTATCTGTACCAGTAAACTCCTCCGAAGAGGCAAGGGAGCCAGAAGGTCCAGGATAATGTATCATCTCATCGTCCTCCTCATTATTGAGAGTGGAGTTCATAGCGAATAGATCTCTTTGGGAAGGCGAATAATATTAAGCAGAGAAAATGGTGTTTGAAGCTGAGTCAAAAGAGTAGGTTTCATCGACGAGAAGGGGGGACGAGAAGAGCAAGAGACGAGAAAAGAAGACCTTAAGTAGGTAGAAGTGGTTAGCCTACGCCCGCTCGTGCCCGGGTACCAGTGCCAGAGCCAGTATCAATTAAATAATGATGTAGAACGAGATTGAAAAGAAAAGAAATCAAAGCCTAACGCCAAATTGGGAAGGAGACATTTTCGAATAAGAGACGCTGGCTTTCCACCGAGGGACCGTTTCTGGGATGTTGGCAACCGAGCAGGGGGTTTATCCGGTCGAAATGGATTGAAATCGCGATTCAGCAAGCAGTGAGGCAGTGCCTCACCTCGGTATGCAACTGATTAGCTAAATAAAATCAGTGCAACGAATGACAGGTGTCATGCAGTCCAAAGGCTCCTTAGAACAGTGGGCGCTTAGGCCTATGTTCTAACTCGTTGGATTCTTCCTATGGTGTAGTTCGGACATTCGCGGGGGAAGGAGGTTTTGGGACTGAGGAAAAAAAGGAGATCGTATAGATCAATATATTGTACATGATTAAAACCCTCACTACACCCGTTTTTTTGGTGATGAAAATACACAAAGGCCAGTGTGGAAACATGTAGAAACCTATGCGGTAGAACTGTTGTACGGAGTAGTAATAATCATACAGGCACATCTAACCCGATATAGCTGACCAGTTGGGTATGAAATCCATATGAAATCCACCGCCATCGGTTACTTGGAGTTCAAAACAAAAGGTTGGAAATGTCTCTGGACGTATCAATTCGATCTCCGAGAAGCTTGGACGAAGCAGGCGGGAAATGCAATAGGATGGCCGAAAATAATATTCGAGAAATTAATACGAACAGAAACTACCCGATAATCATCGCCGAATCCAAAGTATCATGCCATACTCCGGACATATATACTCCGCACAAGATAGAAGCAATGCAGTATGGATCCAACGGCGCACGGACTTGACCATTGTCGGAAGTGCCAGGCGGAAAACTAACGTCGATCGTGTTGAGAAATCTCAGGGCGAGTTGAGTTTTTCTACTCCGTATGTTGGAAAGTCTAATGCTCAAAAGGTACGGAGTAGATTACTCCGTACAATGCTCACATTTGATCGGCAAGAGCGGGGAAGGTAATACGGGGATTGGGAACGCAGGATATGGCGAATCGGATGACTGGTATCCCACCATTTACGCGCAGCTCTGCCAGGGTGATTGGGAGAAAAGGCCTGTTAATCCCAGAATCAGCATCAGCACTACTGCTGCGGGATAAACCAACCATTTCCTTTCCAGACCACTCGGATGTAAACGCTTTGGTTGATTAAGATGAGTCTAGAACGGCAAGCCCAACCGCTGCCCTTTTGAACCAAACAGTCTTATCCTAGGCCAACAATAATACACGGATGTACTTTTGTTGGGCAATTGTGGTGATACTCGCCTATCCCCCATCCCCATTCAGACATTGATTTTTATATTAGTGGTTGTCGGCTTATTAAAAAGCCTGGGAGGGATGGATATTGATACTTATTCTTTAGATAAGAATAATTATGCATAAATCCGGGTGGAGAGGGAGAAAAAAAAAAAGAAAAGGGGTTCGCAGTGATGGTAGCCGTACTCCCGGCGGTAGAGTTACTGGATTTGGAACCAAGTGGGGTTGTACAGCATATCTACCATGGCTCATCCAAAGTTTCAATGCAAGATTGAACGACACTGCAACTTGCTTTGTTAAGATATCCTGGATGGATGTAAAGGAATCTCATTTCTTCAATGTAACACAATAGTACCCGACTACAATCCTTGTCTAGATCGAGGAAGTGAAATGGAAACAAAAGGAACGCAAATCCAAGTATATATATGTACCTGCAAGGGGAACAGACAACGACACCAAACGGTTCATCAAGTGGTGATCAGCAAGACAGTTCCAGAGCCCCACTCCGTACTCCGTAGTTCACTAACTAGTTAACTCCCAAGTCTTTCCCTCCCAATAAATAGCACCCCAAACCAAAAAGATGAACCAAGCCCCGATCTCCCCCGGAACCCTTTACACAATAACCTGATACAAACTCCAATGTCCAAGCTCCAATCTCCGATCTCCAATCTCAACGAACAACAGTGGCCAAAGCCTAGCGCTTTGGCGAGTAGGTGGCTTTGGTTGATGACCACGGCTCCGACGAGGGGGTTGCCTTCTCCCACGACTCTAGCATGTATGAGGTCCCCTTTTTCGACTTGCCATTGGAGGCGGATGCAGACTTCTTCGAGGTGTTATCTTGACCGAAGGATGTTGTGTCTTTGCTAGTGGTGCCGGGGTCTTTAGTCGCGGGGAGGTCGGACGACGAGACTCTGAGAGAAAGTCAAGGTTAGCGGATGGAACAGATAAAGCGAAAAGTCAGACAGATTCTTAGTGAAATAACACCAATGACAACTGAGTTGAATTGGGTGTATCGCAGGGGAGTTCATATATTATCACCTGGGCAAACTAGCCGGCTTACTTATTATTAGAGCCCATCTCCACTGAAATTAGTCGAAAGCGGTGGTGAACACGGCCTTTGACAGAGGGGGATAAAATGGATTTCTTCGTAGCTAGACAAGCTACTCAACGGTAATGCAAGTGAGCGGTGCAGATTCCTGCAGAAGTAATCAAGGTACGAGCTATGCTTCCGAAGAGTGTGGATTGATGACTTCTAGGAAGGGGAGAAGCAGGAGTTATAAGCCAAATGAGTTCACGCCTTGACTATCTCATTGCCTACGAAGAAAGCCCGGGTAGCAGAGTGGCAGCGGTGTTGTTGGGTAAGGTTGGAGATCGATTGAATCGCCAGGTTTTGTATACCCAGGCCTTTTTAACCCAGGCATATTTAACAATATTTTCAGAACCTCAGTAGTTATAGTGCTGACCGGCGCTAGAGTTAGATAGGAGCTTGGCAGCTAGTATGGCTTTCTTTTTCTTGTCTTGTTCACTAAAAAAAAGAAATAGATCAATTGCTGCACATGAACTGGGAAATGATAGCTCGGTAGTCTGTTCAGTCCGGCATCCAGGCCTACTCACAGCAGAAAATCCGATTTTGGTCTAAATGACCTGAGGCGTAAAACCCGGGGGAGTGGCTTGTCATCGCATGCCGTACAGGGAAGGGACATGCATCAGACAAAGGTCATCTGTTCAGCAATCATACCGCCCTTGATAATCGACAGAAGGTACATGTATTCATTGTTCCTGAATCTTCACCTTCGTACATTCAGTTCTACTGCCGAATGTCGTCATGTGTCGTGATCTACGGACTCTGCAATGTGGCTGTGTACCCAACCCTAGACCCTTATTATTATCCAAGATGCTTCGATCTAAGCCATTATGTAGGAACCATATTTTAGCCAAGCCACAAAGATCACAATCTAGACCGATTGAATGTAATAATAAGCTCATACTTTCATGCTCTTTACTTTACGGTCATATACGAACATGAACTCTTGAAACCTCCACTGCATGGTTGGTCTGAAACACAAAGGGGTATTCGTGTATTCGACAACATATCAAACAGATAAACTTCTAGAACCTTTCCGTGTTAGACATACCACAAGATTAATACAATCGGGTACATGTTCACTCGCCCCAGGTGTTCGCCTACAATGCAACATAAACTTAGCCCATCACCAAGAAACCCATTCATCCGTAGTCCACGTTACCGGGTAAAAGTGCTTGCCTGAAGTTTAAAGTGAGCAACATTAGACAAATTCAAATCGAATGTGGAGCTTCTCCCTTAGATAGGGGGGCAAGAGATAGTCAATCGTCTAGAACAGGCTAGAGTAGCCAACCACAGCTGAAAGAGGCGGTCTGCGGAATACGGGGCTGCTTGCGAAATGTCGGCGGGTAGCTGGTGCTTTAGATCGGGTACTTCACCTATATGATGCCAAGGTAGGGGGTTTGGGCGTTCGACGAAAGCAGGAGAATCGCGGTAACTGGGTGAGTGGGTTCGGGTCATTAGCTTGGGTGTGGCACCTGGGCGGCCTTTAGTGCGACGATACCCAACTTGTGCCGATTCGGATGTTGGTTGAAGCTATACGGAGTAGCTTGAGAGAGCTTGTGTCGCGGTGGCAGTGCATCTATGTCATGATCATCCCTTTCGCTCTGCCACACTCGTAAAGTCATCCGCGCCACAGCATAGTATCAATGATCATCGCAATAACATTTATATCTAGTTAGCGATTATAATTTATGAATCAAAGTTCGAACCATACTTGATCTAGGTACACTGGTCTCAGATGGGGCTGCCGACCAAGGCCAAGAGCGAGAACGAATAGCACTACAGCACAGGCCTAGAACAATACACCAAATATGAGTTATGTTGGACAGGGAAAAATGTAGACATGAACTCGGAAATTTTTTGATTTTGTTTCATTCAGGGGAATCTATGCACAGGCGAGAGATGTGCCAGGGCATCCGAAACCCTTTGCGCTTCGTCTCATGTATCAAAGTCCATTTCAGTCTAGGCAAAAATGGAGTGAAAACCCAGTAAACACCTAACAACCGCACACACCGTCCCAATTCGATAGCGAGCCCTTTAAATGTGGGTATCGTAGGCAATGGGGACGACGGTCTCGGGCTTGTTGTCAGCCTGCTTGACGAAGTGGGCCTCACGGGGGCCAACGGCCTGACGCTTCAAGTGGACGTGGACACCCTTCTCCTTGGCCTCGCGCTTCTTGATGGCGTTCTCCTTGACACGCTTGATGAAGTCCTCGCGGGAGCGGGAGTGCTGGACGTGCTCAATGCGGACGCTGATACGCTTCTCGAGGTAGCGGTTGTCGACCTTCTTGTAGAGGATGACACCGACGGCGGACTTGGTGACGTTGTAGACGACACCGGTCTTACCGTGGTAGACCTTGTGGGGCATACTGTTCAACTGTTAGATTATCGCCCTCTTTTCCGGGTTTCGCACGGCTCATGGTGTATGATCGCATTGGGCGGTCGGGTGAGAGCGCAGGAAGGAAGTTTGGAATTGTACTGACCCCTTCTGGACGGCACCGTTGACCTTGAGGTCGACAATATCACCAACACTAAAAATATCCGTCAGATTTCCATTCTTGTCGTGAATTCGAGATTCGAGGGTTTTGAGCATACCGGTAGGTCTTCAGGTAGGTAGAGAGACGGATCATACCGGCCTCCTTGAAGCCACGGGCGAAGGCATACTGTTCGTCGTTTCGTTAGCACTTATCCTCCCTGAGGCGTATCCAGTTGATCCAGGTCGTCCTCCCAGTATGAAAAAGACGCGTGTCGCAAATGGAATCAGAACGTACCCGAGTGCCGGCGCGCAGACCGTACGAGTGAGGCATGACGGCGGTGTTGTGGTTGGTGCTGGTGGTTAACTGTCGACGGGGCCTTCAACACGAAAAACTAGAGTGTCGGATAACAATTTGTGGGATTGACATGACATAATCATGTCTACTCTCGCTAAATCCACGCTACGCCACTCTTGGATTATTAAATATTTTTCTAAATTTGGGTTAGCGCAATAATCAGCCTCCGGCCAATCAAAGCCTGAGTTTTCCTTTGACTTCGAGATTTGTTGCATAAACATGCAATGCTTTTCTTCTCCTCATGCCAATGCTTCAGAAACTGCCGGATTTTTTTAATTCCTTTCTGAATTTATCTCGTCCAGTCATATAGTATTTTGTACAGTGACTGACTTACCAGACAAAAACAAAGCGCGCAGGTGGTAACGTTTGGGGGAGATACTATTGGTGTTCTTGACTACACCATCGATCTTGCTTGGCAGGTCTCAAAGGGATCTTCCAATATAATACACTTATATCCTGGATGCCTCAATTGGGGATGCAGTGTAGTGAACTGTAATGGCAACAACAATATCATCCTCACGCACCGGAATCACGATGCCAGCTATCTAGAAGCCAGCAGCCAGCAGCCAGTTCCAGAATTCAGACTCTAGCGACTCACTATGAATATCAACAACCCAAGTATTTTGGGCTCATATCGCCTTCGCCTACTTGCTATGGTGCAAGAAAGCATAATGCCAGTTTTCGATCTACCTGCAACATCAAGAAAGATCCCGAGTCACAGCGATGCATAAAATGTCCCGAATTTGACGTTCTTTGACACAAATAGCTGTAATAGTAAAACCAAGTAATCCAGACAAATATATCCAAAAAAAAGAATGCATACAAGCATCCATTCCAGGCGATTGAAGGGCCGGCTATTCCGAATGTTGCTGAAAAGAGAAGGTGGACCTGGGCATGGACCTGGAGAGGCTCAATGACATAATCAGCTGACATAATTATATTTCCCAATTAGGACTAGGGTAGGGCTCGCATCACACACACTCAAATTCTCAATTCATTTGATCCTTCGACCTCCTGTCGACAACCTCCGCCCATCTAACCGCAGCCATGGCCCCGTGAGTATATCAACGAAATTGAAGGCATCAGACCATTCTAATCGATTTCTGTGCAGTCGCGTTTCCTCCAAGACCTACAAGGTCCCCCGTCGTCGTAAGTGAAGTCCCAGCAACATGATCGATTTGAATATCTAAATGCTAACTCCATCATAGCCTTCGAGTCGGCTCGTCTGTTAGTACTCTCCGGCCACTAACCAGAAGCGTGCTTCTGGTTATGTCGTGTTCATATTCCTAACCTTTTTTTTACTAGTGATGCTGAACTCAAGACTGTCGGCGAGTACGGCCTGCGCAACAAGCGCGAGGTGTGGCGTGTCCAGCTCACCCTCTCCAAGATCCGTCGTGCTGCTCGGTATGTGCAAGGAACAATCTGCGATTATGCGAGGCTTCGAGCGATCGGGCCTAGGCGAATCGAATTTGGTGGACATAGCGCTAATTTTTCATTTTCCCCACAGTGAGCTCCTTACTCTCGATGAGAAGGACCCCAAGCGTCTCTTCGAAGGCAATGCCCTCATTCGCCGTCTTGTCCGCATCGGTGTGCTCGATGAGGCCCGCATGAAGCTCGATTACGTCCTGGCTCTCAAGGCCGACGATTTCCTCGAGCGCCGTCTCCAGACCTGCGTCTACAAGCTCGGCCTCGCCAAGTCCATCCACCACGCCCGTGTCCTGATCAAGCAGCGTCACATCCGCGTCGGCAAGCAGATCGTCAACGTTCCCTCGTTCATGGTCCGTCTCGACTCCCAGAAGCACATCGACTTCTCTCTCACCTCGCCCTTCGGTGGTGGCCGTCCCGGCCGTGTTCGCCGCAAGAAGGCCGCCGCCGCCGCTGGTGGTGAGGACGCCGAGGAGGAGGAGGAGGAATAAATTATTCCCAATATTCCCCAAAAAATGGAGTACGGTCGGGTTTCGCTTGGGGCGCCTTCATACCATGGAGGTTCAAAATGACTGCATAGCGTCTCATGTTCTACGATCATGCAATACAATGAATCTAAAACAGCCGCAAGGCTTCAATTTGGAACCCGATTTAATGATACCATTACCATACTTTCTTAACCTGGAATTATAATATCCACGGACCCATATATGCATAGTAGATCTTAAACGCCAGTCCCCACTTAATATAAGTTCAATTGTTCGTCCCTCATGTCATCGTACACAAGCCTAGGCTTGGCCTGCAGGTTGTCATGCCTGGGTCCCTACCAATTCTTTCAAGGTCTCTTCTGCCCCCCTGTACCAACGTCCCATCTCTTCGAGTCCATCACTTTCGCCCTGTTGCTTCTTGCGTTGGGCTTCACGGGCTTGCGCGATCGCATCTGACTTCCGTCGCTCGAGCACGCTGCACTCTCTCTCTACAGCCTCGGCCTCTCGAGTTTTCCGAGGCAATGTGTTATGTACAGCGGCTAGCTGGCGGTTCAATGCTGCCAGTTCCGCTTCACGTTCTGCTAACAGTGCCAAGGTCGCGGGAAGAGGAAGGTTCTGCGAGGAGGAAGTATTCGTATCGGAAGGATCCATGGTGGCCATCTGCTTTGCACGCAGCTCGGCGATGGTGGACTCGAGATTCTCGATTGAAGCAGGCAGGGTTGAGAGCTGCGTAGTTTGAAGTTCGACATTTTTGTAACCTGTCATAGCCGCGGACGCTTCAGTCAACATGTTGAAATTCCACGGTGATTGACTACTCACGGCTTGCCAAATCACGGCCCATCAGCTCCATTTCCTCAATCATAATCCGTGCGTCTTCTTTTTGTGCCTTGAGCTGGGCTTTCACGTCCGCTAGTTGCGTCTCCAGTTCCATGTTCTCATTGTGTCCGACAACCATAGGCGGGTCGCCAACAATGGCGCGCAAGAACTTTTCTTTCGTTACTTGCTCGAGATAGGAGAATCGCAGTTTGGAGAATAGTTCCTATGCGAACATCAGTATTTGCTGGTCTGGATAGCGGGCATTCGGCCTCATCGCGGACCTTGTAATGTGCAAGATCAGCCTCCAATGAGGCAGGAGTAGGATCGTCGAAATTTGACACGGAAACATCAGAGGTTCTTTTTGAAGGAGATGGGTAAGACCCCCCAACTTCGGTGGAAATTGGCTCGCTGATGCGAATAATCGCGAGTCGGTCCTTCAAATTGCCATTCTCCTCCAGCTGCTGAAGTGCTGCAAGCGCTTCAGTTGATGAGTTTGTCATATTGTAGGGCTTTATCATCGAAAATCTGCCTCTGACAAGAGAAGCCGACGAGATTTGCGAATGTAGAGAGCTTGGAGGGGCCGAGTCCACTGCGGGCATAACATTTGCGGGACAGTAAACAGCCTTATCAAAGGCGGTCAGACGACTTTGGGAAGGCGCTTTCGTCTTGACTCTTCGCCTCGTTTGGTTTTCTTTCAACTAAAGAGGATCCGGCCTTTGTTCTATTTTAATATGGCCTAGCGTATATACTTGCTCTTCTTTGAATTCCTCACTTTCCTCGGTGCACTCCTTTACACCCTCAGAGTCCTACGATCTGTGGCTCATCTGGATCATGGACGACGAGTATGTTGCACAGATCCTGGCCAAGGAGGCTAAGGAGAGTTCTATCAAGTATGCATCTCAAGGAATGAGTGCTTTCATGCCTTCAAGGTTGGTTTCTCTCATAATCTGCGGTTTGCATGATCATGAAACTGACAAGCACCTGCAGGCCGACAAGCAATGCCCCAAAACCCAATACCCGCTTCCTACGAAATCTCATCAAAGTAACAGACAGCCATAACACAGCTCTCAAGCTCAAAGAAGAAAGAGAAGCACGACAGCGTATGCGCCAGCTGAAATATCAGGCATCGGGTGCTTCAGGTGCCTTGGTTCCAACTTCGACGGACCGATCTGATGATCGAAGTAAAGTTCGAGGATCAAGAGACCACCGGAGAGGAGATCGGGAAGATCGCAATCGGTCACATCGGAAAAGAACTCGAAGTCGCTCCCCTTCGGCGGAACGAGACCGGTCGCGGAGGCATCGACGAAACGAAGAGTATGACGGAACTGGAGAGAAAGACAAATCCCGCGATGGACATCGGCGTGAACACAGGGATCACGAATCTATGAGAGATCAACGGGACGGAGATAAGGAACACACCAGGCGGCGACGTGAGCGGTCATACTCGAGGTCTCCAAGTCGTTCTCCGCGCAGGGACCGAAGTACCGACCGTCATCGCCATCGAAGACAAAAACGTCAATCTGGACATTCTGCTCGCTCCATTTCCCGTTCCCGCTCACCAGAGTCGTACAAATCTCGACGATCAAAGCGGGAAGATGCATCGCCACATGGCTCCCGCCGTTCTCGCCTTGAACCCAGCACGCGGCATAGACGACTGTCGCCGTTGGCTACTATAACTGCACGCCAAAATGAGATGGGCAACGAATCCGATCCCCTAGAAGACCTTGTGGGACCACTCCCTCCTCGACAAAACGAGCCACCTATCCGCTCGCGCGGGCGAGGTGCCTATAAACACAGTATGAGCAATATCGATGCTCATTTTGCACCCGGCTACGACCCGGATACCGATGTGCATCTAGATGAAAACAGATTAGACTCCATGGGCCAGGAATCCTCTCGTCGTCCTGTCGCGGGGCTCATGACAAAAGACGATGACTGGGACATGGCAATGGAGGCGCTGCGCGATCGTGAGCGCTGGAGGAGTAAGGGCGAGGAGAGGCTACGTACAGCAGGAATCGACGAGGCCGTCATTGATAAATGGAAGAACAACACTGCTTTTGCGGGCGTGGACGGAGAAGGCAAACCAGAGGATGTACAGTGGTCGAAGAAAGGTGAAGGACGGGAATGGGATCGCGGCAAATTCGTGGATGGCGATGGCCATATTGACATTCGGGCTGCTTGGTAGTCTTTCTTACTGGATGTTTTGATGATCGGCGTTTGAGGATTGTGCTATGGGTGATACCAAGGTGTATATTGTAACTTTCATTTTTTAGTCTGGACTTCATTCATATTTTGTGCTGTCTTGTCTATGCTATACGAAATAGCTACATATTCAATATCACATTCTTTCAATAAATCGTTGTTTCTATAATCATGGCCTTGAAATATATTTGTGGAGAGGAAAGCATGAAATTTCCAAAGTGTATTGATTAAGCCAATAATGCTTCTAAATAAGCACTCTATTTGACAGAAAACCAATAGTTAGTACTTGCTATCTTGTATACTCACTTGAAAATTGTAGTTGATATATTATCTATCGTACATCGATGTACATCGTAGTTGACCTTGACCATCTTGACCACCGAGGTCCGTTCCGCGGCTTTGTCAGAGTGCGGAAAGTCACCCGCAGACTTTGACAGATGATGATACTCCAGGTTTAGCTGACGACATTTTTGATCTGAGGATTGAATGCTTACTAGACATCTTTGCATTGATTTGCAACCGCTGATCAACTCAAGTTAATACGCCACATAACTACCTGCACGGAGTAGTCTTACACCAATCTCTTTACATACCCACTACTCTCCCCTCATTTTCTTCAATAACCCCATTCTACTCACAATGACAAACGCATTCGCATTCTCATACCCATCTCCATTAGCGGGGTACGAAAACCTCGAGCCGCTATCCGAGTAAGTGTCCCGCAACCACATTCAACTCAAGACACTTACAATCTGCCGCAGCGAGCGCGCCGAAGACGGCAAGTCAATGAAAAATCCCCAACATGGCATATTAAGCAAAGCCTACTCGGAATTCCCCGACCCTCTTTCCAAAGGCCGGGAAGGTGGCTTCGACGTCCACATCTATCATTTCCAAGTAAGTGCAGGTGCCGCCAGGCCCACCGGGACATAAAGCCAAGCCAAGTGAGAACGGAACTGACGCATCGAGCAGAACAACCCCGACCAAGCCGCATTCGCCAAAGCGCTCTGGGAACGAATTAGACGAGAATGTAAGCAGCGCACTCTTCCAGCCCAGGAACAGAACTGCATCGTCTGGCCGTCTACCGCGGGGTCGGGGTCGACTTGCTTATCTCAATTGATCTCTTGCTTATGCTTCGTAAACAGTCCCCGAACTTCGCATCTATAGGTTCTTCGACAGGCCGATTGGCCCGCACCCGGTGGCCATGTTCGAAGTGAATTTGTTCACACCTGCGCAGTTTGGAGCTTTCGTTCCTTGGCTGGTTATTAACCGCGGTCCGCTCAGTGCTCTCATTCATCCTAATACTGTGGCATCGGAGGATGAGCAAAATCACACGCAACGTGCGACTTGGCTTGGGGATCGGATTCCGTTGGATTTGAGAATTTTTAAGCTGAGGAAGGACTAGTAGAAGCAGGAGAGGCTGGATTCATGAATTGGGTTAGCAAGGTACAAATGCACTATATAGAGAAATGTCCAAGTCACTATATAGTATGGACTATTGTCTTTGATCATGGGATCAACACGCGATCGTGAGGAGCGACTAGATCTCAATTCGTGGCCGACATGTTGGTAGTATACATGGTTTCGAGTCATGTATGACGGGAAAAGCCGAATAATAATGAAGAGTAAAACAAAAAGGTAGGATTAAACAGAGTACAACGGCTGGTACAGATACGCGATGCCATTGGTAGGTCTCACCATTTTATATAGATGCATGGATATTATTATTCAGCGTGATTTGATACAAGCCCGAACATTCGTCGTGATGGCTTCGCGGGCAGGTGACATCAATTTAGAGCAATGATATTCAGCCATGGGATCTGACATGCAGATCGCACTATTATTATGACCACCTGGGCACTAAAAGACAATTTGTGACTGTTGGTACTGCATTCACGAGGCACCTGATATAAGGCTCACATTCCTGAGGGTTGCATATTGCATACTTTATGCCGGGGGATAAAAGGGAACTTTCAACAATCACACCTTATTGCAGGAGAAATACCACTTGAGTACACCTTGGGATTGTCCACGGCCTTACTGTCTTGTGCCTGAGATTGAAAAACCCGATCTGCTGCTCGGAACACTGGCATGATCCCCGTCAAGGAGATGCACTCACTTCAAGGAATAAATGTCATCGTGGAATAGCAGAAGACCTTGTGATTATGGGTTTCTATTACTTCAAATTTCGGATCTGCTTCTCGCCCCGCAGTATATCTTCGAATCCGATGCCCACGACGAGGTCATGCCGATAAACATTTAGGTTAAACATCGTTGTAAGTAAATGTATGATTGTCCTCATAAGGATCAAAAGGGCACTTGTCGCTCTCCAGTACTCGAGGATAAGCCACACAAGATGCGTCTCTTCATATCGTTAGCCCTAGTTGGTCTATCTTCAACCAAACCGGCCTGGGCATCCCTCGGCGACAGGGCTACTGATGTCCCGCCATATGTCTTTAAATATGGTAAACAAACCATGCGATACATGGTATTGATGATGATCTGAGTTTACTTATTCTGCTCCACAGCACCGTTGGTCTGGCTCCATAGCCAGGAAACATACATGCCGAGCGATATTCAACAGCAGCTCGATCACACCAGACCCAATGTCAACTGGACGGCGATCGAGGGAGTGGAATCCCCCCTGACCCTCAACAACCTCGACACTCTCAATTCAATGGGTAATACGAGCGTCTACCTAACCTCCCTAGAGGGCATCGAAGCCAACCCAGAGCCAGCTTGGTTCCGAGGGATCAGACCGGACGCCCAGGGACGAACAGTTGACGGTACATCGAGTGTTCTCATCATCGCAGACCGTGGCAACGGAACCGTTGATGCGTTCTACTTCTACTTCTATGCGTACGCACGATTGTATCTAAGTCTGCATTATACTGATCGATCCAGATTCAACAAAGGCGGTAAAGTCCTAGGCCTGGAATTCGGCGACCACATCGGAGACTGGTTAGTGTGAAGAAATGCCTGTGTAGAGTCGCTGTAGCTGACAACAAAGGGAACATAACATGATCCGCTTCGTCAACGGCACACCCGACGCAATATGGTACAGCCAGCATGCTAGCGGGCAGGCATTCACCTACGACGCCGTCGAGAAGAAGGACAAGCGGCCATATGTGTACTCTGCAGTGGGTACGCATGCAAGCTATGCAATTCCAGGGTAAGTCCAGATAAGTTTCTGTAGCCTGTTGGCGGATGTCAGTACTTATACACACAGAAAACACGACCACACCTTCCCGGGCTTCAACCTGCCTGCAGGGTTTCTGTTGGACTATACGGACCGTGGCATGCTGTGGGATCCCATGCTCAATGTATACACTTATACCTATGACGGAACAACAGCTGCGTTCCAGGCGGTGGACTCCAAAGATCCTGTGGCGTGGTTGGGGTTCAATGGGAGATGGGGTGACGACCAGCCGCCTAATGAGCCTACGCTCTTCGGTGAGGCTAAGAATGTTGCTGGTCCTAATGGTCCTAGGTTCAAGAGTTTGGATAGACAGCTGGTGTGTCCTTCTAAGCCGTGCTTTGTGCTTCCGTTCAGGACTTTCTCCGTGGATGCGGCTTAAAGTTGGGGTTGGAGCCTTAGAGGTGGGTTGTGGATATTGCAATGGCGATAAGATATGAGAATAGTTCGGTATAATGATAAGAGTGCAAAGACGCTCGGATTGAGAGCTTGGTGCTCCTGGTGATATTAGTAAAAATTAAATGCGCCGCCTCAGCTTGGTTTAAGCTCGGTTTCCTCACGACAAACGATTGAAAGAAGAGCAGAGGTAATTCGCAGTTCTAGGATCGGAGGGAATTGGTTCCTCTCCCCCTTTACTCCGTCGCGTCCTTTTACCGTTCTTCTCAAAAAGAAAGTTCCTGCACGCAATGGAAATCCACCCCACTTTTGCTCCACTCCGTTATTTCTCGAGGGGAATGCGAGTTTTTGAGAGAAGGAGGAGGGAGTACTCTGTATATACTTGCTTCAGTGAGGGACCAACGTAGTTCGAACTGTAGCACTCCGTAGATACAATGCATAAAGACTTTGACGAAATGCTCAAAGAAGGTCATGATTGTCCTGCGATGGCCCCACCCGTCACAACATGCAGGATGTCACGTGGTTGGGCTGATATCCCAAATTGCATGTTTCAGAATTTGGTCTAGCTCGTATTGTAGACGCCCAGGTTCATGGTTATTAGTTGGCGCATTGGTTTGATTAGGTGTTCGTTCTCGGCTTTTCGAGCAGGTATGAGCCGATAACTTTGGCCTAGAGACAGATGGGTTAGCTTTGGTGAGATGCTCCGGACAATGTCCAGTTTCAGCTGCGGTTGGACCGAACTGGGGAATAATCGACGAGTGCAAACCAGACAAACACGTTGAATCCGTAATATCCGATACATCAACACATCCACGCATCAACTGTTTATATGTATATCCTTAGTGGAATATCAAGTGGAGACTAATGGCCCACGTTGTATTCCACAAGAACGTGCTTTCAGTAAGGAGATAACCTACTTACATTGTATGTATGTTGTACTCCATACTCGTACAAGTGAACCCATACATCCCGTCTTTAGCTCTCCAACCAACAAAGAGAGACCAAAGCTCCCAAGTGGGGAACAGCTCTGGATGGTCTTTTTTACCCCTGAATGCTGAATGTCTGAACGTCGGATGGTCAATATCATCTCGATCTTCCCGATAGAATTAGTGTGAATTGAATTTCTCTTCTCTCCTCCCCTTTTCAAACATTACTCCAAGCGCCGCTGTTGCTGGATGCTGTGAGCAGGCTTATTTACAATTCCCCAAAAGAAAAAAAAACATCCCCAAAAAAAGAGCTTGAAGTTCGAACTCTGTTTCAAGGCCGAATTTCAATCCCATCCTTCACCCACTGGTTGGGCACTTGTATTGTGTTGATTCCACTCTCGCTTATTCCCTTTCCTTTCTCTGTTGCAGATACCTTCGTTTTTGAGAAACCCGATACATCCGCAGACCAGGTGGATTGATTCCGTCTGATTCTGTTTCAGAGCAGTTTCAAATCGCGCCATCGGATCTGACCTGCACTATAAGCGCTGTTGGACTCCGATATATCTCGTTCTATTGGTGAGTGGCAGTTCCCGAGGTTCCCCCTGACATCAGGTGGTGGGTTATGCGATATCGAGATCCCCCGATAGAGATGCCTTCAGGACTGCCTGGTAATAAGAGCAAATAATAAGAGAAAGGAAAAGAAAAGAAAAACAACCTAATCAGGAAAGAACAGACAAACGCCCATCCCAAAATGGCAACCTCCACGCGCCTGGGACCTGAAACAGACATCAACCGTCGCACCTCCCTCGGCTTCCTTCGTCGTTCTAAATCCACCGAACCCCTAGGCGACAAAGCTCGCAAGAAGATGTCTAAAACCCAAGCCATGGAAGATGAGATGCGTCGTCAGCGCGAGTCTTATGCCCCTAAAGTCCCTCCCCGCTTGCCTGATCTTTCCCCCGCCCCGCAACTGGAAACTTTTGGAGGCGAGGAACGCGATAAGGTCGCAACCCGAACACGCCAGCCTGAAGCTCCCGCGCCATCTATGGCTGCGCCAACAAACACCGTGGATCCCTATGCGCGCTCTGAGAGCATGACCCACCGTGGTCGGTACAGCTATGCTAGTAGTGCTGTCAGCACCGTCAACAGCCCCCGTCGTGTGCGCCGTCGCAAGGACCCTACCCCATACAAGTGAGTCGCGAAGAGGTGATGTCAATAACCAGACCAGCTAATAATGGAATCTGTATAGTGTGCTTGTCATCGGCGCTCGTAACTCGGGAAAAACCTCATTCCTCAACTTCCTCCGCAGTGCCCTGACCATGCCCGCACACAAGCACCCCTCACGCACTCCTGAGGAGGTCGAAGAGCTTGAGCGTCAAACCTCAGCCTGGGAAGGATTCACGTCGCAATACCTGGAAACGGAGTTTGACGGAGAACGTGTCGGACTTACCCTGTGGGACTCTGTAGGCCTGGAGCGGAACATCGCAGATCTTCAGCTGCGCGGCGTGACAGGCTTCCTGGAAAGCAAGTTTGAGGAGACCCTCGCCGAGGAGATGAAGGTTGTCCGCTCTCCCGGTATTCGTGATACCCACATTCACTGCACTTTCCTACTTCTGGATCCTGTGCGTCTTGATGAGAACATCGCCATGGCGGAGCGTGCTGCCAATGGCACGTCCAAGCCCACTGATGCACCTGTCATTGGGATTCTGGACAAGAATTTGGATATTCAGGTGTTGCGCACCGTGTTGGGCAAGACCACTGTGGTGCCGGTGATTAGCAAGGCGGATACGATTACCTCCGCTCACATGAGCTACCTCCGCAAGGCGGTCTGGAACAGCTTGAAGCAGGCCAATATCGACCCCCTTGAGATCTTGACATTGGAGGACCAGGAGGATGAATACTCGTCGTCGGAAAGTGCAGATGAAGAAGAGCCTGAGACCAAACCCGAGACTGAGAATGGAGCCAGCGAAGCCAAAGAATCCGAGGCCGCAGCCGAAAATGTCCCTGGCTCGCCGTCGCAGCGCAGCCAGAGCACTCGCCGGTCCAACGCGTCGCAGGCCACCAACCAGCACGTTCCCTTCTCGATTCTGTCTCCAGACCCTCACTCCCTGGCAGCTGGCGACAAACCCGTCGGTCGCCGATTCCCCTGGGGTTTCGCAGATCCATATGATGCCGAGCACTGTGACTTTGTCCGCTTGAAGGACTCCGTCTTTTCCGATTGGCGCTCCGAGCTGCGGGAGGCTAGTCGCGTGGTCTGGTATGAGCGCTGGAGAACCAACCGTCTCAACCGCAACGGACAGACGACGCAGTCCCAGAAGCAAAACTACGGTGGCCGTCAGGGACCCTACGATGGCCGTCGCAAGCGATAAACGGCTCCCATTTCTTCTGTTCCCATAGCTTTCTCTTCCGCACATACCCCCATTCTTCGCGGCCTGGCACCTCGCAGGGCTTCTTTTATGTCATACCTTTGCTTTCCTTTCTCTTCTGACAAAACGGTTCGAAATCCGAAACCTGTACTAGTGCTTTTCATCTATTGTTTGCACGGTAATTTGATAGTTTATCTTGAATTCCGCGTAATTCTACAGTAACCTTAACCTTCCATGAATGACCCTCCTCTTTTGCAATCTGACATGCGCATTAGTCAGATGTCTGCGGCTGAAGCGCTGGTCACGACGATCTTCAGTCCAGCTGTAAGCCAATAAGAGCCGCTAATACTTGCTACATGAGGGTGAAGAGTCACAGATTAGCTCGAGGTAAGTTGGCGCCGTCGAATGCCAGCGGCTATTAAACCTCGCTTTGTCTTTCCTTTCCTTTCCTTTCTTTTCAATTCACCTGAACAAAGAGGCTTCATATCTATAATTATAGAATGGCCTAGTGAACCTCACACAAAGAAACCCCCCAGTCCAACTCTTCTTTGTGCGACTGAAGACCTCGCAGAAGAAAATAAATAAACCCGTTGAACACACATTGCATACCAAGATCGAAATCCCAAACCAACAATGTCCCTCCAAGTGAACGACCCACGGTCGCAAACCCGATCCAAATCTCCCGCCCGCGAGCCCTCACGGTCGCGATCGCGGTCGCGCGACAACCGAATCCCCTCTCCTTCTCCCTCCCCCTCTCGCCGGTCGCGCTCACCAGCCGTCGAAATCTCCAGAGCAAAGACCTACAGCCCCGACGAAGAAGCCGAAATAGAGCGCCAATACAAGCTCATCAGCTCGCGCCGTCGCGAAAACACAGACGAGTCGCGCCCCGGCAGCTCGCACGCCCCAAGAAGCGCCCGCTACGATGTGGACCCTCGCGATGACCGCTACCAACACTCAGACGAGGAGCGCGGTTCTGCCGTCGCTTCGTCGCGGTCGCATCGACGACCCCCGTCGCCAGACCGCGTGAATCCGAATCCGAATCCGAATCAGAATCACCACGACTCCGACTCAGCAGATGATCTAGCCTACGGCGATGCGCCAGGCAACCATCCCAGCTACGCGCGCCCGAATCTATACAGCTATGCCCAGCCCACGCAGTTTGCCTCCGCGTCCGCGCCGCGACAACCAACCTACGCTACCGCGCCAGTAGACTGGGCCTCAGTGCCAGAATGCGAACGGCCTGGGTTCGTGCCGCCCTCCTCGCAGCCTGGCCCGGCTACTACTATGCCCGGCGCGTTCCCTGCAGCGTCGAATTACCCCGCTGGCTCGGGAGCTACGTCGCTGCAGTATACTAGTTTACCGGCCCAGCAGGCCCCGTATGCGCCGACGAGTGCCGCTTATGCGCCTTCGCATTATCGTACCCCCTCGAGTGAGACTGGTTATTCGCAGTCTGCTGTGGGGTATGCGAATCCGGGCGTGTACCAGTATGCGCAGCTTGATCCTAATGTGAAGTATTCTTCGAAGACGGTGCCTGTGCCGCCGCCCGCGCCGCCGGCGCCTAGGCCTATATACCCGGCTGCTACCCATGAGCAGTTTTCTAGGCCGATTCCGCAGTCGTCGCAGAATTTGTATCCGTATCAATCGCAGGCGCAGTCACAGTCGCAGGGACAGTCGCAGCCGCAGTCGCAGTCGCAGCA